CAACGGGTATCCAATCAAGCAGAGACGCTTCCGCTCGTTTGCTCAATACAATACCCACCCCAGCATATCCAACTGCAGCGGCCTCTGCATCACCAAAGGTGCGCAGTCGGAACCTGGAAGAAAGCGAGGGGGCAGTCAGTTCGATCACAGTACTTGCGTCCTGCGTCATTGCTTCTGACAGACAACATACATCGATACAGAGGGAATCTAGCGTACGCGCAAGAGCCACCTGTTGATCTGCTTGCTTCAGTGTGCGAACATTGAAGGTGGCTGAATAGACAGGCTTTCGGGGTTTGAAAACAGACTTCGAAGTGTTTAGGGTTGTAACTGAACTCGGACGTGCAGAAGCTGCAGCTGAGTGTGACGCAGGGCGAGCAACACGGTCAGTCCTAGAGCTGGGACCTGCGGATAAAGTATCCAAATTTGGGCGGGGGAGGGTGAAAGACGGAAAACGTGAAAGTGTAAGAAGGGAGGCGTCAACAGTAGCATGTTTTCGCTTACCCGCCCTGCTGTATGCAGCAAGTAAGGCGACCCGGCTGATGTCACCACGCGACGGCCGATGTGGCATGAGTTTATTCGTGTGTGTGCAATTCATGGTTGTACGGGGGCTGGGATACTGCCAGGGCGCCCACACCTAGACAAAAGGACGATTAGGGTCCTCAAACAAAGCCTTTGGCTCAAAAGCCTAACCGCAAGGCAGCGGTGTTTGGAGGGAAAATGCAAATGCATTACCTTTTCTACGGAAGAAGTCGCCATACATGTTCCAACCCCCAACCTGGAGGGCCAGGAGACTGTTCGTCAGACCTCTAACCATTGACCAACCTGGTATGAGAGACTCTGTGAGTGTCGCGCGGACACCCTCCAGTATAGCTCAATGGGTCTCCGAGGTACACAAACCGCCACACCACAGTCCAGTCCAGTCTCTTCGTGACGGAGAGATGATGATGATGATGCCCGTGATCTCGCCACATCAAAAGATCGCAGACAGGGAAAATATATCATCTGTAGTAAGGTCCAGTCTCTTCGTGACGGAGAGATGATGATGATGATGCCCGTGATCTCGCCACATCAAAAGATCGCAGACAGGGAAAATATCAGAACTCATCTGTAACTGTTGAATATCAACGAAACTATTTGATTGCGTGACATCGTCTGGTTGAAAAAAGCAATAGGGGTGAAAAATTCGGTTCTGATTACCACCATTCATGATTTTGTCGTCCGGTAACAGAGGCCACCTGACCTACCCAACGATGACCTTTCTCGGGTCTTGGGAACGCAACCAAATGTCAACCACCTACCCACGACTGAGCAAAAGGATGCCTCTGATGGTGTTAATATTTCCATCAAACTAAAATAAACTGGTTTAAACATCGTGACAAATCTACGGTAGTAACAAGCGCAAGATTGAAGTTTAACATTATTTGCGCATCACAACGAGGAACTTGCATTTCGTTAGGTTACGAAAGTAAAAAGTAACCAGCCCGCTCATCTGAGAGCGTTATTTTGGTAACTCCCAACAGCAACAAATCTCGTTCACTGATAGACTAGACTGATAAAAACTAAAAGAGATGGCAGACGAAAAAATTTACTACCCCTGATCGATTCTCCTTGTAGTTTTTTAATCAGTAGTTTAATGTCTAGCAATCCCTGTCTAGGCTTGGGCAACCTGGCAGTATCCCAGCCCTCGTGCTGCTTCGGATGGCATGGCAGCTAGGCATTGAAAGGGTACGGTTGTTTTTTTATTATTGTTGTCTAGCAATTGATTAAGCACTGGGTGGCATGGCAGCTAGGCATTGAAAGGGCGCGGTTGTTTTTTTTATTATTGTTGCCTAGCAATTGATTAAACACCTTAGATGGAAGCGTTGGTCAGCAAAACACTCAAGGAATTTACTCGGTGGTTATGAACTAGATGAATCCGTCAGATTTTTTCCACTTAGTTGCAAAAATAAGGAAAACTATCTCATTAACATACATGAACAGCAATTACATTTAGGAGCCTTGCAGTTTTGCGGTGAGCTTACCTCCCGATTAACCAAGGAGTACAAGGTGAATGAAAGTAGTGAATGCAACCTGTTCACTGTAGTAGCAATCTGAGAATAAGTCTGCATGTTAAACTACTAAGAGCAGAACATCACCATCAAACCACTTAAGATTTTGCAACATGGCCTCCCAAACAAACACTATTCGAAACGGGCACTCAAACGGAAGCCGACAAGCACTTGCTTGGTTGACCTCATTTATCACTGTTACGCAGAACAAGGAAAGCGACGAAGATAAAACGGGTGAAGGCATGTTCAGTTGGTGTAACAAGACACTGAACTATTATCATTATAAAATTGGTCCAAAACACCAGGACGTTTCTTGGGTTACTGGCTGTTTAATAAGATGGATAGTCATATAAGAGTTGATCTTAAATCATATGCTCTGACAAGAGAAAACACTTGCTGTGGACGGAAAGGCCAATGTCACGGATTCGCGCAGGAGATATTCACGTATGTCACAAGTGCTTCATGCTTTGATTTTTCTTCAAGTTTTTCAACCGATTGTCTAACATGCGTATCCAATGGTTCATAATCAACTAGTAAGGTAATGATTGCCAACCGATAGCTTTTAGAACCCAGAGGCACAGAATTCTCGCACTACTTTCTAACGGGATTATTTTACTCGAGAGCATTGTCTCCCAATATAATATAACAATAATCGTTCAGCTGCAACACCCTTTCGGTGCCTAGCTGCATTGCAACCCGAGGGAAGCACGCGGACTGGCATACTGCCAGGTTGCCTACGCCTAGACACGGTAAGTCGTGAGGCAGAGGTCGGGTTCGAACCACGTACCTTTATCCACTGAACGATCTCGCCTATGCCTCCCACTATACAGTAAGTCAGAGTAATCCAACCAGTACTACACGAGTAATCGACCGTTTGCAGGCGTAAACGGAGCTTTCAAAAACAACAACACAGATTACTGAAAGTATGTACACTTACTGGCATAGGGATCTTTGTCAATTCTTTACCAATGCAATTCTTCATGATGCTCCACAAATTCAAGCTGTAATTCGGTTTCGGTGGAATGGATGTTCTGCGCTGAAATACCATTTTCCGAACGGGAACGTAAACAGTTTCACTTGTCCGACGTTCGACTAGTTCCTCTTCATGTTCAGGTTCGGATTTTTCCAACTTAGCATCTCCACCAGGAACCAATGTACCAGTGCGACTGAAACCAAGCAAAAGTTCGTTAAATCGAGGTTGAAAGACTAAGAATGATTTCCGAAAACCAGTAAATCCAGGAATTCGCCAGGAAGAAGGCAGGGGGATAATGTGAGAAAACCGTACCACTTCAACTTCAGTTACATCTGCTGAAGCTTCGAACGCATTCGAGCTCATATCCAGGCATTCTCTCATTAGTTCGCCGTACTTAGGAACATATTAAGATAGCAAATGGCCAGGATGCACAAGAAGTTATAGCTGAAATTGAAATGGTTGCCGAATGAACATTTCCACTGCCCACTACCATAAATCGTCAACGAAGATGTAGAAGCCTTTGAAACTCAGATCGCAAAAAGAAGAAGCAGGCACCGTATCACAGAATCCGATCTGAGCAAAATTACACACAGGCTGAATCGGAACCGATATTGAAAATCGAGTTAGAGAAAAAAATAATCGCATTTCACGAAACTCGCCAAATCATCGGCTAGTCATACCGACTGTTCGAAAAGTGAACATCACCAGTTGGACATTGAGTCCTATCACACGGTTCACCACACTGCTGTTACAAGAACTCAGACAAACCTGACAGTTCAGCCAGACACCAAGCAACGCCGTCAAAGAACGTAATTGGAAGTAATTCGTCAAACGTCAGCCCATTGCCCCCAACGACAACCGATAACAAAAGATAAGCATAACGTGGATTAGCGAGACTTCAAGAAAACTGGAGTTAGGTTGAATAAACCTAAATGGTGAAGAGAAAATACAGACATTCCAAGTTGAACAGTTGTTATGAAAAGCAATTATCGGTTAACCGAAACAGGGTATCGATGTAGATTGAGAGCCTAATAACATTAGCTTTGATCTCAATCTAATCTGTTCTCCTCTACTCTACTCTCAATCTGTTTTGATCTCAATATGCCGACACTCACAGATCAGATAGTGGCCAAACATGGCATATAGATTAAAAGAAGTGTGTTTCGACCTAAAAAATCATCCTCCTTAGCCCGGAATGAAATTGGCTTAGTTGTATCATGCGACAAGAAGATCGCTTAGCAAGATTGTATGGTTTTATGGAAGGTCGATGTTTTCACAGTGACTAGGTCATTCAGAATTAGAACAAACTCACGTGCCTGACCGTCTAGGTCGTGCCTGAATAACTCGAGCTTCACGAAGGTGAGCGGGCGGATGATGTGCTCCACCACCGTATTCTTCTTCGGCAAAATCTACATCTGATTCATACTCAAATGCGACGTCAGTTCCCGTCGGGAAGGAGGAATCATCATCCTGAATACTAATCACGGTAGATGAGGTATCCTCTTCTTTCATTTCCCCCAGAACTGGGGCTGTACTTGCGGTATGGAGCTTGGCTGGTCTTTCACATTCGGTCGGAACAGCAAGCGGTGTGGGAGGGAGGTAAACGGAGAACTCGGAACTGACCTCCTCTGCGTCAAAGAAATCATCATCTGAGCTATCTCCAAGACTCGCTCGAACAGAGGGTATACCAGCCTGGAGTTCTACGGGTGGAACTGTGTTTTCTGAGTGAAGACGAGGAGCGGGCGGAGGAACTGGTTGCGAATGGGAGTCAGCACACGGTTCCATGGATAGGACCGGTGAGCTGGATTCGTCTGTGGGTTTCTTCTGTACGTCCGCAACACGGACAGCTTGACCAGGAATGGATGACAGATGACTATGTGTTTGGCGAGAGGAAACGTTACCTCCTAAAGGAGGAGCAGCTCCGCTGAACCCTGCAGAAAACAGAGCAAGTAGTAACCGAGAAGATAAATGAGGATATGCCTTACTAATGGAAACAAATTCAGTGGATAGCCAAATCGATATCTGCTAGAGAACAGCTCATTACACACGACAACTGCACACTACACGCACTTGTCAGGGAAATTGTGGGTGGCGTTCCGTGAAGAAACTAAAAGAAGTTGTTGAGAGGATGAAGTCACATCTCAACCTAAAAAAGTCTGTTAATAAGTGTACTTGCATCCCTGTCCGAAAATGGATTAACAGCCGTTTATGCAGAATCTCGTGGTTGGTCACGTGATAGCATCAGTGTTACGTTCACGGAAACCACACTCAGCTGATTTGAGCAAACAGTTACGTATGCAGGATACCAAAACATTGGCGTTGCAATATGTAAATAGAGTCACTAGCCCAAAGAAAACCACGTTTCCTTGGGTAGATCCTACGGCACATGAAAGTACTAAAAAGCTGTACAGGCATATCAATGGGGTCCCACCATCAGAAAAGCTCTACTACGTGCGTTTAAGTCACAGTAGTGAAAGATTAAATGACTGATTTGTTACTGTTCGTTAGGCGACCACCTACTGAGAGAGAATGAGGCGGATTCAGACGATAAACATGAATAGCGCATGTCTCATTGGCGCATGTCTTCATTGGCTTGTCACACCGAACTGCATCAGTGGGTTCCCGAGCAGAATCGGCAACATCAATTTCGGTTTGTGCTGAGCCGTGTAGGCGGCAACCAGCTGAGCGATGGTCGTGAAGATGAAAAGCCTATAGTTCCTCAACCATCAGCATATTACAATGATAGCCAATGGCTGACAAATCAAGTGGGAGGACCTCAGCATGTGTATGTGAACAGGTGATCTCCAATGCTCATAAAGAGCACATATTGCATACATATACCTTTAGGTAGTGTTATCCATCAATCAGTTTATTCTGCACAACGGTGGTCAGGGAAAGCTATTGGTAGCCCTGCCGATGGCTTATTAGGACGCAACGATGAAAAAAGGCACCAAATAGGTCAGCGCTTTAGCTGAGCAAGATTGTGTGAACAGTGTTTCCTTTCAGAAGGGATTGGTAAACAATCGGTAGTTTTTAACTGGGCAACGTTTCGATTTTGACACAAAAGCTTCATCAGTCCGAGTGAGCAAGTCACCAATTTTGCCAAGTTTTAAGGCAAACGGAGAACCAATCATTAAGACCTCTTCAGATCAGCACACTGGAAAAGTGCTTAATGTCACTTAAAGGGATCTTGTATTTTAGTTCATAATTCACACAAGAAAAGTTATAATCACGTCACTGAATTTAGTTTTCAGCCATCTTTCGCATTTAGTCGACAAGCCTTCACCTTTCGGATCTCACTCAGAAAGAAGAACTGGGCTCGTAAAGGATAGACTTCAAGTCATCGTTTCAGAAGAGCTAGATAAACAATCGGTATTTTTTTGTTTATCAAGCTCTTCTGAAACGAAGACTTCTCAATCGGTTCCGAACCTTCTCTAATTGATTGAGGATTTCAAGTCAGTTTCTTCAAATAATGCCTGTCTTTTCTGATAAAACCAGGCACGCAGAAATAAGGCACCAAATGGATGCAAATGGGAGTGCATTCGAAACAAAAGCTTGGCACTGATGTGCGTTGGGTATCAGAAACAAGAATTCAAGATGCAAGCACAGTGGTTGGGCTAAAAACCCCACCACTCTCCCCTCGCTTCCGGCTACACACATCTAGTGAGTCCCAGGCTGCTGCGGCTGGAAGTGCAGGGGCTGTTATCGTTCTAAGTCAATGGGCGGAGGGATGGGTACTTGACTGGATATCTGTTGATAGTCGCCTGGATGCGGTTCGCCTGGCAATGTCTGCGAAGGAGTCTCACAAGTGATAAGTTGATCGATGTCGGTTTGTCGTGTCTGCTTACGCCCCCAACTGACCGCATTTATGACACCATCAAAGATAAGTTTCACTATGCCCTACCGCCGTGAGATAAAAGCTCAGACGTCATTGGGGTTGTCGGAGACATGAATGAACAAGTGAACAGGCTTAGAGCATCTGGCATGAATTGGACTCAGTACGTACGGACAATGCTGACCGAAAGCCGGTTTATACAGTGCTAACTTCCGAAATAGCCGACGTCATCTGGCCACATGGTGTCCTCCAACGGCGTGCCGGTCACTACTTCAAATCGACCACATTGCCATCAGCTACAGATGGCGCGAATCAATAAACGACTGCCGGTCGTTTTGGAACACATTTGTAGATTCCGACCACGTGCTCGTCCGGAGTCGCTTCTCCCTACGTTTTTAGGGTCGCGTAAGATACGGGCAAATCTCTTGGCAACTGAGAGATTGGCAGGTCCGGACGTTAGACGAACTTACCAGTATCATCTTCCAGAGCGCCTTAGGAATGCTCTGCCATCAGATGTGAATTTATACTGGTACGAGAACGCCACATCTTTGCATAGTGCTGGAAGTTTTACCTGTAGCACGGCACTACCAGACGCATCCAAGCAGTGGATATCAGACCGAACAGTGGCACTGCCCAAATCTCGGAGAAAGATCCCACCCGGTAACGAACATAACGCGACAAATCACCAGACCTCAAGGGAAAGTGATCGTGCGCATCCACCGTGAAGTTTGGTGGATACAGAAAATCAAGGAAATGGAAGAAACCCAGAAAGCCGATAAATTTCAAAAATTATTTCATTTGATCCACACCACCTGGCCCCGGAAGCCATTTGTGAATGAAACCATCAAGGATCCGAATGAAGTGGCCCTCTTGAGTAAAGAATGCCTCGACTGGAAGGCTAAATACCTTGAACCACAGCAATCACGTCCACCAGCTGCCATTCATCTAGAGCCTAGACCTAACATAGAACCCTGAGCTGTGAACGCGGAACGGCCTACGGCCTCGCAGGCTTATAACTGCATATATTCTCCAAACCACCACCGAGTTTCTGGTCCCGATGACGTCTCAACCGCGTTATACAAAGATGAAGGTGAAGTGCTCTGTCAGCGCTTGTCTGATCTGTTTGCTTGCATTCGGGAAAAGGAGTCTGTCCCAGACAACTGGGAAGAGTCGGTGATAGTGCCCATTTTCAAAAAGGGGCTCGCAGTGGGTGTGGGAACCATAGGTGACCCGGTCGTAACGGTATAGTTGGCGTCACTGATGCTCCGTCACCTTATGGCGGCCCGTGAGACACTGACTCGGTAAGCCGGATCCTGGCCCGGTAGGAGTTATTGCGTCGACCAAAACTGCACACCTCGACAGGTGCTAGAACAAGCCATATGCATAAGCGGCCTACAATTCTAGTAATCCTGGACTTCCAAGGCGAAGTTCAAACGGTTGACCGGTCTGTACCCCTTACCACGCTCGCTCATCAAGGAATGTTCCGTAAGTTCTGTCCATCAAGGGTGCTCAATCTCTCCATTTCTATTTAGTTTCGTGATTGGTGAGTTAAGGAGACGATCGCTGGAAGGTCTTTAAAATCCCTCAGTTCAAATAAACCGCAGCGAAGAACTTGTCGAAGATTACCTTCTCATTTTCAAAAAGGATAAGACTCAGGTGCTTCTAGATGTACCGAACAGAGTTAATCCGTCCTTTGGTATGCGATTTGCACCCACAAAGTGTAAAGTCATGCTCGTGGATGTGGAGCCACCGAGCACGTTACTAACAATCCAGGGAGAGGTATTGGAAGTTGTGGAGCGTTTTGCGTATGTTGGAAATTCTATTAGTTCTGATTACATTGTGACAGATAAGGTGGATGCACGAACCTGCAAAGCCCGGGTCGCATTTCCTAATACGATACCTGTGAAATCTAAGTGGTATATCCCTCAATCTCGAGGTCGTGTGTATCAGACTGCAGTGCGGCCATCATCATCATCAACATCATTACTGTCGGCTGCAAGAACCGTGTAGCTGTCATACAGTAGTTGTACCCACCACAGTTTCGTTCACCGACGATTTGAGGAGGTGGGGTAGATAGCTGCGCATTGGAGGCGGCATCTGACGAATTAGTGTGTAATTTAACTACAGCATTGTAGGTGGACTGTTAAGTGGGATTAGGAAGGGAGCTATACATTGAGGGCAATACTTTGGATGCATGAACGCAATTGAAGGCGCGACTGGGCCATGTCTGACAATGTCTCTAACTAGAAAGATGGCAATCATCAGCGCAGCTGAGTTTTCCGGCAATGGCTTCCATACTTCGCGGCAAAGTGGCGGTTTGAGCTCCCCTGGTTCGTTTGCACTCCCCTCCCCCCGCGGTAGTGCGGAAAGATCCCTCCAGGAAGTCAATCAACTGGCATACGCGGCACGTGGCCAAGCCAGCGCAACCTATGCAGTGTGATCAGTTCATGTATCGAAGGTGAGTTATTTTCACCTAATATCATTCGACGAACTTCAACACTGCTAATTCAGTGTTCCCACCAGATTCGAGCAATGCTCCGAAGACATCGACTGTCAAACACTGAAATTCTTTTGACGTCCTCGGCGCGCACCGGCCAGGTTTCTGATCCATATAGTAATATGGAGCGCACCACAGCATTGTAAACTCGACCCTTGACAGAGTAGCTGATGTCACGCCTGCGCTACAGGTGACGCAGGTTCATAAAAGTTGCTCTGGCCTTCCCAATCCGGATGAAAATATCATTCTTCGAGGGAGAACCAGGACTGATACAGCTGTCCAGGTAGACAAATTTGTCTACCACCTCAGTCGGTTCATCCGCAAGCATGAGGCTAGGGTTCGAGCCCAATCAGTTTTCCAGCAGCACTTTACACTTTGCAGGTGTGAAGCTTATGCCGAACCATGAGGCAGAATTACTTAGGTTATTAAATATTGTTTGCATTACTAGGGGCAGATCCAAGAAGAGCTATGTCGTCCGCGGACTCGATATCTGTGAGTGGACGCCCCGGGAGCACTTCGAACCCACAGGCGTTAGAGGCTGGTAGTGAGTCGCGACTGGGCCATGTCTGACAATGTCTCCTACCATTGATATGGCCCGT